AAATACATAAAGGATATTTGTGTTGTTTAACATTTAATTATTGCAGGTTTGAGTCATATTCTGAGTTGCATTATTTCCTTTGGTGTAGGTGAGGTCCAAATCGGTTTTTTTTTTTTTTTTTTTTTTTTTTAACCAAACTGTTTGCATGTAATACATCAATGGATTCGACCACGAGGACTGCATTTAGGAAGTGTGCATCTGAACATTTTGAAATTATTTTTTTCCACTACTTTTTAATGTTTTATTTTTCTTATAGAAATTGTACATTTTAAATCACATAAATGAACATACTAAATAATAATTAATTATTATTTTAAATAATTTAATTTAATTTTAACTATCCTATTTCACAGCTGCTGGACTATTAGGCATTAAGATGTTATAATATATATATATATATATATATATATATATATATATATATATATATATATATATACACACATTACTGAAAAGCTGCTTTTACTCTGTGTGTATTGTGAAAATTGATATGCAAATAAAATTGTCTTTTGACTTGACAATTTACTGCTTAGAACACATTGTGTTTGGCGTACTGTACCTGGGACAGCAAGGTCTCTTTTCCTCTGTCGGCATATTTTCACCATAAGCTAAAACAGCATATTCACAAGCTAGTCCTGCTCTTTCCCTGCTGCTTCCTTCCTATACCTTTCATTCCTTTATTCCATTTCTCTCACTGTCATTGTTTTTCTCCTTTCGTTCATTCTGTTAAGGCATCCAGGAGAAAGAGAGTTTTGTTCTTCTGGTCAGAGAGAATATATGATTTTATTTTGTACTTTCTCTCCTTCATGCAGAAAATGGAAATAAAAAGACTTTTGACTCTTAAAATATAATGGAAAATAGGCAAAATATAACTTCAGCCAGAAAAACAACCCTTCTGCTAGAATGTATAGCGAAGATGATGTTAATTATTCCGTACAGCAAGCAGATGTGTGTCATTTTCAAGATGGTGTAAAACATCCAATGTCTTCAGAAAGTATTTAGACCCCTAAAAATGGATGCAGCACTTTATAGCAGCAACTTTGTCAGCGATTGCAGCATTGAGTTGTCTTGTTTCTTCTAGCAGACAGCCCACTGGGATTTGAGCTGTTTCTCTGTCTGATTGAATGTGGACTACTGTCTGTCATTATTGATGGTGTCCAGCTTAAAGCCATGGCAGGACTGTTCAAGTACAGTCAGGAATCTGTCCTGAAGCACTGATGTGTCTGTTTGCTCCTGTATATCACTGATTCTTCGACATGGTTTGGGGGATTTCTTGTAAATATAGTGCCATTGACAACAATGGAGGTAGCTGTGCTTCTGCAGCCCCAGAATGATTTGTCTTCTTAGTCTTATTTATAGCTTATGACAACATAAGTAGGTAGTACACCAGGGAACTGAATCGGTTCAAGGAACAAACTAAATTTTGACAGGAACAGAAACCGAAACAGAATCAAATTTTATAGTTCCGAACAGAATCGAAAATTTGAAATGGCCATTAACCGGTTAATAAAGTTATTTTATCATTCCATTTAATATTTAAAATTTTATGCCAACCAATCACGAATTCCAGTAGTACGGCCTATGCAAATGTGATGCTGACGCATCCAGCGAGTGAAATGCCCGCGCTCAGCTGTGAACTCATCATAGGTAAGTCGCAATGGCAATGCAGCGGCATTAGAGTTTATCCGAGGATAGTGTTAGATGGATTCAACAGATCACATGCGCTCACACCTGCAGTGCGAACTGTGAAGGGAGAAAACAGAATAAAACTATAGGCTAACATAAAAAGGAATCTATAGGCCTATACACAAAATATATTTAACTTAAATAATCGACAGATTAACAAAACGAAAGAAAAAAATGTGCTGAGTTTCGGTTTGTGACGCTATTCAAAGATCCCGGAAAGGAAAACGAAACAGCAGAAATAAGTTTTCTTTATTTTGCAAAAGCTTTACGGTTTTAGGCCTATTTATTTTGCAAAAGCTTTACGGTTTTAGGCCTATTTATTTTGCAAAAGCTTTACGGTTTTAGGCCTATTTATTTTGCAAAAGCTTGATAGTTTTGAATGATTCTGTCTGTGCAACCAGCGTTGGTATGACTATATCGCACCGGTGCCCCACATGCACAGACACAACATATTGTTATAATATATATATATATATATATATATATATATATACACACATTACTGAAAAGCTGCTTTTACTCTGTGTGTATTGTGAAAATTGATATGCAAATAAAATTGTCTTTTGACTTGACAATTTACTGCTTAGAACACATTGTGTTTGGCGTACTGTACCTGGGACAGCAAGGTCTCTTTTCCTCTGTCGGCATATTTTCACCATAAGCTAAAACAGCATATTCACAAGCTAGTCCTGCTCTTTCCCTGCTGCTTCCTTCCTATACCTTTCATTCCTTTATTCCATTTCTCTCACTGTCATTGTTTTTCTCCTTTCGTTCATTCTGTTAAGGCATCCAGGAGAAAGAGAGTTTTGTTCTTCTGGTCAGAGAGAATATATGATTTTATTTTGTACTTTCTCTCCTTCATGCAGAAAATGGAAATAAAAAGACTTTTGACTCTTAAAATATAATGGAAAATAGGCAAAATATAACTTCAGCCAGAAAAACAACCCTTCTGCTAGAATGTATAGCGAAGATGATGTTAATTATTCCGTACAGCAAGCAGATGTGTGTCATTTTCAAGATGGTGTAAAACATCCAATGTCTTCAGAAAGTATTTAGACCCCTAAAAATGGATGCAGCACTTTATAGCAGCAACTTTGTCAGCGATTGCAGCATTGAGTTGTCTTGTTTCTTCTAGCAGACAGCCCACTGGGATTTGAGCTGTTTCTCTGTCTGATTGAATGTGGACTACTGTCTGTCATTATTGATGGTGTCCAGCTTAAAGCCATGGCAGGACTGTTCAAGTACAGTCAGGAATCTGTCCTGAAGCACTGATGTGTCTGTTTGCTCCTGTATATCACTGATTCTTCGACATGGTTTGGGGGATTTCTTGTAAATATAGTGCCATTGACAACAATGGAGGTAGCTGTGCTTCCCTTTCATGGGAACTTCGAACTGCGTCCTCTAGGGGTCGCTATGGGGAACGCCTCGTCGTGACTCGTATCTGAAGCATACATTGAAAAAACACCAACTCGTTGGCCGGCGACAGCCATGACGTCACTACCGGTGCGACTACAGTATAAATCGGTGCCGGGAGCTACACATCATTCTCTTCTTCGTCTTCATTGACTGTTCTGTTTGAAGCGTGCATTTTCAAGGAAAAAGTAAGAGCTATCTATTAATATTATGGCGACAGCCCCAGAATGATTTGTCTTCTTAGTCTTATTTATAGCTTATGACAACATAAGTAGGTAGTACACCAGGGAACTGAATCGGTTCAAGGAACAAACTAAATTTTGACAGGAACAGAAACCGAAACAGAATCAAATTTTATAGTTCCGAACAGAATCGAAAATTTGAAATGGCCATTAACCGGTTAATAAAGTTATTTTATCATTCCATTTAATATTTAAAATTTTATGCCAACCAATCACGAATTCCAGTAGTACGGCCTATGCAAATGTGATGCTGACGCATCCAGCGAGTGAAATGCCCGCGCTCAGCTGTGAACTCATCATAGGTAAGTCGCAATGGCAATGCAGCGGCATTAGAGTTTATCCGAGGATAGTGTTAGATGGATTCAACAGATCACATGCGCTCACACCTGCAGTGCGAACTGTGAAGGGAGAAAACAGAATAAAACTATAGGCTAACATAAAAAGGAATCTATAGGCCTATACACAAAATATATTTAACTTAAATAATCGACAGATTAACAAAACGAAAGAAAAAAATGTGCTGAGTTTCGGTTTGTGACGCTATTCAAAGATCCCGGAAAGGAAAACGAAACAGCAGAAATAAGTTTTCTTTATTTTGCAAAAGCTTTACGGTTTTAGGCCTATTTATTTTGCAAAAGCTTTACGGTTTTTTAGATGGATTCAACAGATCACATGCGCACACACCTGCAGTGCGAACTGTGAAGGGAGAAAACAGAATAAAACTAT